GTAAAGGAGAAGATTCTAGTCCCATCCTTATAAAATGGTTTTCTCTGTTTTTTTAGTTTATGTGCTCTGTCTTTTGTTAAGCAACTATGTGGTATATTGGAAGAAACAAGTGAGATGCACTTATATACAAGACAAAAACGAAAATAGCAAGAGCATGATTAAGTCATGCACATTTTCATAGGTGGATTTTTGATTTTTTGGCTGATTAAAGAAAAACGAAAATTAATTAAAAATAAATTAACTGCAGACCGCTATATGTTGGTGAGGAAGCAATTTTTATTGAAGAAGAAAAGAAAGCAACTCTTAAAATTGAATAAAGTTCACAAGTTTTTAATTATTTTTTTTCTTAAAATACATGACTAAGCCAGAGTTAATAATGGTTTTAAATTTACAAAACTGAAAAGGGGATGGTTTCTTAATTTTTAAGTCTTTAAGTATATTTTAAGAAATAGTTTCTTATATTCTCCTAATCCCATCATAAGAAACTGTGGATAATCATGCTTTAACTTTCCGTTAGTTTGTTTCTGCGTTATTTACATTTTCAAAAGTCAAAAGAATTTTTTTTTTTTATATAAGCCAAAAGTCCCAAAACTAAGAAGAGGTCGGCCAGAGATACAAGTACACGACGTTATTATGTTGTTCCATGTGGTTTTAGGAATATTCGAAAGACATCTTTAAAATATATGACATCTACTCTATTAAAATAGAGTCATTCTTTTTATCTACTAATACAAGTTGTCATCTAACTTTGGACCCTTTATAGAGTGTTACAAATAATACAAAGCATGTTAACTGAACCGTATTACTTAAATTAAACTGGTGGTTATTTATGGGATATAGTCTTGGGCTTTCTTTTGTTTTTAAAACAAATTTTATGGTTTGGTTTTTGGGCTTAGTATTAAGGAAAATTCCAAAAAACATTGAATAAACTTTCCACCTTACTAGATCAAAAAATCAATTATTATTTTCAGGCCCAAAATTTAATATTTTTAACAAAACAAAATTATCTATTATTAATCATTTATTTAAATCATATACTTTAAAACATGTTAATTTATTTTTTTATTTTAAATAACAATCACTTTTTTTTTGATAAATTTCAATGGTAAATTTTAAATAATTTATTGTTTTATTTTTCTTAAATAATTTATAGATTTAAAAATAATATGTAAAGCAAAACCAAAAACTAACTCTAAAAACTAAAATCCAAACCAAAAGCTGAAAACGCAGGTTATATTTTTTGCTTTTGTTTATTTACAAAATAAACTATTGCAAATTTTTTTTAAAAATAATTGTCATATTTTCAGCTTTAAATTAGATGTTTGATTATTTGAGATTTGTTTGTTGGTAATATCAGTTCAAACTAACTCAGCGGGTCTAAAAATTAAAAAACTCAAACCAAAACCTGAAAATCAAAAATATAAACTAAAAACCAAAATTTTAAAACAAAATCTAAAATTAAAAAATGAAACTAAAAACTAATGAAAAACAATCATCACCACAAACTTTGGTGAATTGATTTTATACCAAAAAAATTATTTAAATTAAGACAAAACCCAATTATATAAATTTTTAATCATAAAAAATTTCCGCGCTTTCAAGCTCGGGTCAAAATCTAGTTGTGATTAATAAAAAGACCACATTTAGGTCAAAAACGTTAAGTTTACACGTTAGCTATGGTGTTCCATATGGCTTTAAGGATTATTCGAACGACATTTTTTTTAATATATGACTTTTTTGAACTATTTTAATATATGACAACCCTTATATATTAAAGGAGAAATATTTAAAAAATTGTAACCTCAATTTTGTAATAATTAAAAAAGACTCCATGTTTAGGTGTCACTCAATTAAGTAGTCAATTATATTCAATTGAAAAATAAGTAGGTCAACGTTCGATTTTTATATGTCGTTGGATACATTCGTTGGTCAAATTATATGATATGATGATATGATATAATATTTATGGTAGAATCATTTATGATTGTTCCCCTAGATATAATTACTATTTTATTTATTTCCATAAATAAAACCTACGGAATTACCATAAATAACTAATATATATATGACACTTAATGATTCTAATAATAAATATTTGATAACAGTTTATATATCCTCCATCATTTTTCTTTAATTTTATATTATTAAAATAAATTAAACAATCAAATTAGCTATAAAATTAAACTTTAGATTTTTTCGTATAGGTTATATTTTGAATTTTAAAAAACGAGAATGATCAGAAAAATTAATTTTAATTTTTAACTATTAAAATTATTATGTTAAAAATTAATGATCAATAGTTTAACATTTTTACTATAAGGAGATATATATTATTTTAAAACCATATAAGTAAAAAAGTATCATTCAATAATAAAACAAATATATATACAGATTAACTATATACCATATAAGATTACATAAATATTTTAATTTAAAAATCCTCAATAAATTTTCAAGAACGTTTATAAATTATAAAATTATTAAATTTTTCACATTGAAATTTTTTGTTATCAATGATTTAAATATCTTAGTTCTTTTTTTTTTAATTTTATATTTTTAAAAGATATTAACAATCGATAATATGGTTTTTTTGGTATATACTATACAAACCGAATGGATGTGATTTTATAAAAACCATAGTATTTGGGTATGGTTTGATTTATAACCGATTAAACTGAAACATGTAAATATGTATATATTTATAATGATGCATGAATATCTATTTGTTACATGAGTTGAGCTATAATTATAATTTGTAAATAGCTAACAATTTATTACAACTTAGACTTCTTATTTTGACCTTTTGTTTTTTTTAACAGTAACTAAATTGAAGTAAAGATTATAAATTTGATGGACAACAATTAGTTGAAATTCTTTACAACTTTTTTTATCTTTAAACAAATAGAGTTGTGTTTAATCGAAGACATATTGGTTTGATGAACACTAAATATGGAAGAATATAAAAACTTTTCTTTCATGCTTCAGTTTTGTTTTTTATTTTTATTTTCAAAATTTAGTGTTTTGATATTAATTCTAGATTTGATCATTTTATTAGATGATAGAAACCTTTTTGTTTTTATTCTTTTATTTAAATATATAATATTTTTTTAATAAATGACTCTGTGACAATATGACTCTAAATATGATCATATTATATATTTGTATAATATATAATATGATCTCAAACTAAATAATCATGTTTTTTGGTATAAAATTGAATAAACTGAAAACCGATGGTATATAAACCAAATCAAACTGAAGTACATATAGATTTAGAATAGTAGTTATATTTTAATAATTGAAATACCAAAAAATCGAGCCGAACCGAAACCCGATATCCGGATTGAACACCTCTAATCCGAATGAAACCGAACTATTGTTTCATTTTTCAAAACATAATAAAAATAATAGCTTCATCCTGCGTAAGGCGCGGGTCTTATTCTAGTTGTGATTAAAAAAAACCACATTTAGGTCCAAAACGTTAAGTTTCATGGTTAATTTGTATTTTATTACATTCTTACGGTATCACTTTTGGAAATAACTTATAATAACTGATTTGCCTGATAAATGATAAGAGCATCTCCCGATAAACAAAAATGTTAACGAGCAGTTGACAAAAAAATGGTAACAAGCTCCTAGGCAATAATTTACTGTAGCATGCGTAAATTAAATACGCTGTACCAACTGAACTGATAAAATTAATTCAAAAGTTTATACACATAAAAAAATTAATATACATTTTGTTGACGCTGAGGTCTTAAATTAAAAAATATATATATATATATATACATTTTCTTGACGCTGAGGTCTTAAAAGTTTATTAATGTTGACATAAAATTAATATATGACATTGTGATTAAAAAAAGACCACTGAATATACATTTTCGGCATTATATAATGGCATTTTTCCCACTATCCACAAAGGTATATGCTTTCTGTTAATTCTGATTTGAGAAACAGTCGTCGTCAATAATACATAGCGGAACAGTGAACCACCCACCATTCACCCAGATGTAGTATCGTGTTTAAATTCAAGTCTAGCAATATCCTTGATAATATCTTCATCTAACTGGTGGAAGTGATACTGACCATAGTTGGCGAATGTGTGATTGGACAAGTATAGTGGGCATATTTTTCTTTGATTTCGACAAAAAAAAGAATAATGAACATTATCGTTAAACAAGAAAGAATGTTTTAGAAACGGCGTGGCAAAATGGAATACCTCTAACCATAGTATTTTTTGTCGTAGAAATCACGGAAGTTTCGGTTAGCAAAAAGAAGAATCACGGAAGTTTCGGCACTAAAATGTCTCTACGATTAGTTCCACAAACTTTAAAAGTGACGTGTTATTACTCCGTTGGTTAGCTAATCAAGTGGCCGAGCTTCATTTCAACTTAATTTGCGATTTTGTAAAATAAAATGCATTAATTTACTAAAAATAATATTCAAAAGTAATATAATCATCCAAACTCAAAAATAGTTGTTTAATTTTCCAAATTTATATTGATTAGATATATAATTCTAAATATAAATCTTCCAAACTCATTATGATAAATTTCAAATTTTACAAAAGATAAAATGTTAAGTCCTAAAGTATTTTTTTTTTTGAATTGCCACACGAAAATAAAATATTTTGAAATCTTAATTCATTAATTAAAAAGTCAGAAAACTTAAGAATAACTTAATCCTATAACATTAGAATAACATCATATATCGATAAAATTACTAAAATAATACTCTAAATTCTGTTATGCATAAAATTTATTAAAATAATAAGACTAGACTGCTTAAATAGAATAATGTATTTCATTATAAAATCATACAATATACCAAAATGATAGATTTTAAGTATATTTTAAAATAAAATGTGAAAGCATAAATTATTCTAAACAAAATATCATTCTAATGTATAACTAAATAAAATATAAAAAATGTATTGTATGCAAACT